GTCGCTTTCTGTAGTACTAAACCACCCCCTTCTGGTACATATTAGATTGCTTTCCCTGCAACAACTGAAACATTAGTGTGTCTTTAATATGTACACATAATATGTTGTTATCAGTTTGTCTCCGTGTTCAAATAGTGTCACCTTAGCGCGACAGGTTGCACGCGCTTAAGTCCCGCCTCTCCATTGCGGCTTCCTTTTGTGTCTCATCGCTGTCGCGATCGATAACTAGTGGTCCGTCTCAAAGAAAAGTGTACTAGAAGACAGAATTGGTCAGCGATGATGGCAGGATTTTCGAGGTAATTACAGCCGCAGAAACGAATGGGGTGGTCAACGTCATTCTCAGTGTTCTTAGGAAATGTTATGCATTCCGTTTGAAGGGGTGTTTAGATTTTTATGGACTGATTTCCATAGAAAAGCAGATGTTCACCTAATATCAAGAAATCTTTCGAGGAACGGGAACGGCTTGATTAACCCTGATGGGATTTGATCCTCCAGACCGTGCAAGTGCAGCGCGACCTCTCCAGCCCCTGCGCTACATGAACCCACAGTTAAATCGAACACAAATAACATTTCGCCATTTACAACACTACATGTATTCTGTTTGAGCCTTTGGCTCAGGAAAGCCCTTAGAACTAAGCCCACAGAGAAGGGCAAACCCAAGAGTGCATGAAAAATATTGATGCCCTCTCGGAGTCCCTCTTCTCTTTTAAGGTCTAGTCCATGGGCGTTTCCGTGATCCCGTGATCCTGATGCAAAGTTACGGGCTACCCCTCCCCCTCCCCCAAGCCACATTGCATCGGGCCTTTTTCTTACTAAGAATGTGGTAATAAATAGCAATCTTGTGGTTAGCTTATTTCTTGCATTTGTGCATTCCTGCGCTTTCTCGTCGAGTAGGTATGTATCGATATGGGTATTTATCGATTTTGCATATTTTTTTAAATTGCTTCATTAAGTGTCGGATGAGTGTTGTGCATTAAAATGCCATTCCTTAGGGCGCGTCGTATTGGATACGTATCGATCGTCCAATCCTAGGACACGACGATCGATAAGTATCAAATGCTATGCGACCGTTACGACCGTTACGGTCGACAACCGACTATGAATGCGCTCTAATAACGTTGGTCATTTTTTTCTTTTCGAAAACTCCTACAAATGAGATTAATCTCCCCACATGTATCGGAATTAAGATCTCTTCAAAATTGTCGGAACAGTCTATTAGAAGTTTAGCAGACGTGGCTCTTTGCTTTCGAATGGCCATCAATTAAATTCCGTGTGAATAGTAAAATACTCTATCAACTGTATCTACGACTACGTAGCAGTACCTACAGGCCTCGATGACAGCAAGCAAGACGTCAACCGGCCATGACCTTAAAGAGTGAGATTCGCAATTGAATACTATGGTCTTTCTTTGAGGTAGGATTGCGCGAGCCGGTGAACCGCATTGTTCCTAATCCACTCCTCTAGCCTACATATATGTCTGCACTGATGTGCCATTTCCATGCGGTTTGGAAGGTAAAGCTGTTAGGACCAAGAGGGTTTTTTCTAGGGTATTCTTCCGCGATTAAGGCCAGTGATAGTTTGACTGATTGTTTCTTCCGACTTATCTTTGATTTGTTAGCGCAATTCAAATGAGTGTCTCAGTCAAACAGTACTGCTTTGCTTCACACTACTCGTGGGTAAACAAATCTTAACTCCTTCCTCTGGGATCCTTCACTTTTGAAAACCGTTATTGATTCTTCCTTCCAGTTTTCATACATTTCAGAAGAAATATGGTGACATTTATCTCTTTTTGTTGATTTTTCTGCAAGATTTCATGGCAATTTATATCTGGTATTTCAATGGTATTTTCAACGAGGTCCTTCTATGTACTGTTGTCGATGTTGCTTCAGCCTAGATTCAAATGCATCTAGAAGTGGGATGCGTGGCGCATTCCAAAGGGAAGGGTAGACTCTTTCATCCTCTGTTTCAATTGTAGTTTTTATTATGGTACAGGTCTGGGTTATCATGCTCGTAATGATGATCATTTGTCCAGCACCAGTTAAGAGATCAGAGTTACTGCCCGAACCCGTGAAGCAATGACGTAATGGGTCTGTCCTCAGTGAGGGGAGGGGATGACATTTTGATGTAAAACCTTTCAAAATCACGATAAACATCCACTTTTATTACGAAAGTTGAAAAATAGTACTTACCATGTTTCCTTTCTGTACGAGGAAGAGTTCATCCACTCTTTAGCTCTTAATCCTGCAGAAGTTGGAATAATCGTAATCAGCAAAAACTGCGCTTGCTGCCTGCTTGCCCTAAAATGAGCACCTTATTGGAGTGGTCTCATCTCCATTTTTGCGATTCATTTCAAGGCTTGTTTAAGAACAGCAAAAGCTAATGTTTGGATGAGTCTATTGCACTGAATTTAACAGTATCACTTGTATTCCGCTATTCCACTACCAGGTCTTTTTTTCTCACTGTGGTTTCCTTTTTTATCGTATCCTGTAGCCACTTGGCTGCTCATCGTCGCGGGGCGTGACCCTTTGGCCGAGTTCCTAGTGTGAGACATGCTCTAGCTTTTTCCCCTGAACTTCGAGCACGCAATCAACTTGGCTGAACAGCTGTGGAGGTTGAACTAATTCACCGATGTAATAAAACCATTTGTTTTGTTTTTGAATCTTCCTTTGATCTTAGCATCTGGTAAAACTAAGACGTGGGGTTTCATTTTATTACACATTACACTAGTCTGTGATTCGACCATGAGAAAGGGTAAGCCGATTTTCTGCAGCTGTCGGTCTCGTTTACTTCCTCTGTCTGACTTCTGATTTAGTGCTTGATGTTAAACTTTAAGTTGTTTCGATTCAACCTTCCGAATGTTTTGCACGGTTTGCTTTCTTTACATTTCCTTTTTTACTCTGATTTAGCTCTTTTTTTTTACAACGTACTAAGATCTTACTTATGCTGGCAATAAGGGAGGAGATTGTTTGATTAGTAGCACTTGATAGCTTTATTTTATTTATTTTTATAGTTGGCAGTAACTATTGCGTGAATTAGAGACGCATTGACAATGTGGTTAACGTGTTTGGTTTTTCTGAGGTCAGACTGGGTCAGGCCGTCCGCAAATCGACCATCACCCGAACCTCCCTCGTCACTCGACCCCATCGTCGAGCAAATTACCGGTCACACCAAACGCCTAGCTAAAAAGCGTTCCTTCTCACCTAATACGAACAATCCGTACTTGCTTAACAATTGATCATCTTCGAATCATTTCACTGCATCCGCATGCAAAAAAAAATCAACATTAGCGACTTATTTGATTATTTGGATATAGTCGACCAAGTGAAAACTACAGTCTTTTTCATAGCCTTCCTAGGAAACGCCATTCTGGCAATGATCAAAGACGAAACGATTGATTTAGTTTGCGCACCGAATTGCAAAGTCAGGAAATTATTCATAGTCTTATACGAAGTCTGCCTGTGGTTGCAAATTCGATGTAGTTTCTAGAATTACGTACGATCGGAAGTATTTTTTTCTGTAAATACCTCATTAGATCTGTCACTCGAATCTTACGCTTTTCCTGTTTACAAGTTCATTTCCTCCTTCAGCCGTGCACTTTTGCTTTGAGGAGAAATCCATCATTCCTGCAGAATTCTACAAGTCTTTAGTTTTTGTTTGTGAGGCATTGTATCGCCGAGTTCAGCATCGATTTAATCGATTCATTTGTTACGATCGTGTAAATTAAGTCCTTCCTAGTCTGGTCTAACATCAGAATATTGATCGGAATGAGATAGCGACTCAAAGAACTTTTCAAGTTTTTGCGTGAAAATCGTCCGGCAGCTGGTTTGCAAGCTCCATTAATGATATCAGTGTTTGCAGCTTTGTTGAACTTTTTGAAACATATTTTTCTTTTTAGTAGAACTATTTGCAATTAATTAAGGGTTTTTTGTGGTAAAATCTTGGCGGATTATATTCAGTAAGGATGTGGCTAGCTAGTGGAAGCTTCAGCCTCTTTAGTATTCAGAACGCTCACCGCGTTTGCACTTTAATGTTTGCCACCATGCTGTGTGCCGTTTTCGCTCACCTCCTTCATTGTGGGCTCTATCTGATTTCAAATTAATCGAAGTGTGTGCGCGCTTTGCTCGAGAGTTTTCAACGCATATCCAGCTTCAGTAGTGTGACGTTTGATCAGCTGTTTTTGTTTTTTGTTTTTTGAAATGTAGAATAATCAGTTTATATTGTATGAACTCTATTTTGTCGTCCCTTTTATGGAGTTGTTGCGGAGTCAGTAGACACACTATCGAGGACGTGCACTCGCAGCATTGTTGGATCCTAAGATTTTGTGTTTGCTTTTTCTATTTTTTCAACGCTAAACAGCGAAATTGAACCCAGAAGGACCACTTTCGCTTTTTTTTGCCAGCTATCTCTAGTAACATTTCAAAATGAACTAGGTTATGTTCTACGGATAGAAGCAATACAAATTTAAGGCAGCTCTTCGTGTTTGAAGTAGTAGTGTAACCAAGGGATATCCTCTATCTACCGGATTATGATTTTTCGAAATATCAGAAAAAGAACGATGTATGTATACATAGCTCTTCACATTTTGGCTCATCGCCAAGGAAAAAGGCAAGATCGCACGCTGTTGCCTCCCGCACGTCATCGTCGTCATCCCCGGCTGGGAGACAATGGGTATGGTCGCTAGGATGTTTGTGTTTTTCGCTTTTCGCAGTGCGGAACTTTTCGCTGCGGAAAGCTTCGGTTCTCCTTAATCGTTTTTGTACTAGCGACCACACATGGGCAAAATATTAACCCAGATAAGGACAGATCTTTGGCTGGGGGTAGTATAGTGACATAGCACGTTTTGAGGTCTGTTGCCGAGCAGACGTATATTTCACAGCACAACATCGACAAACTGCTTTGTTATTATACTTGATCAAACTTCACTCTTCATTCTTTCGTGTTTTATCCCTCTTGTTTGGACTGTGTCTATGTATGCTGAAATATATGACGGCTAAGGCTGACTCGAATCCAACAAAGCTGATGCTGAAACGAGTCAAAACACACAAAAACAAAAGTTCTATGGAACTCGTTTGATCGTGAACGCGGCGGGTGGGCAAGTTTCCTGGACCTCCCTCGAAGCTCATTCTCCGACTTGTCGCCGCCATCTTTCCGATGGATTAGAGAAAGTACCAGGGACGCTCTAGCCTCTATGTTCATGACAAACGCTTTCGTGCAGCTCTCGGATTAGGCAGAGTGAGAAATTGTGGAAGAGTGGCGTTCCTTCCTTGTGCATACGCAGTTCTATCGATGTGAGAACTATCAAGAAGACTATTTGTAACTCGACCACTATGAGTAGCTCTTAAATTGGAGGTGAAACTTGGGTTGTGGTCGTAACCACTCAGCTTTCTTCCATGAGCTCATCTTATTACCTAATCGTACTTACTAAAGCTTTCATAAGCTTTAATAGGTACGATGGTAAGAAGATGAGCGGTCACATGGACTGGGGCCGGATTCAATCCTCCTCCAAGGGGTTGGGGGACGAAAATCCCTTTAAATTTTCTCTGTCTTCCCAACTGGGATTGTCCTGATAAAGGGCCTACATTTAATGTATGTATGTAAAGTAAAGTGCACTGAAAATGAAGAAACTATGTCGTTGAAAACAAATAAATTTAAAGGGATTTTGTCCCCCAACCTCCTCGAGGGAGGATTGAATCCGGCCCCTGGTTGCTTGGCAAGGTAGTGAAACCTACCGAAACAATACCACGAAAGGACAGGGACTTGGGGCCATATGATTTTATTTTAGGGTTGAAAAACTTTGGAACGGAGGCTCTTGCAGATCTGTTTCCCGCTAGAGCCCTGCGAGCACCCTTTGCAGATAGCATAGTATCATTCTTTAAAAGCCTCACCAAGAGTTTGAATTCCTGAACGAGGTTCATCCTTTAGTGAAGCTAAGGGAGTAATGTGTTATATCCGTCTACCGCCCAACTCGTTCGTATTGGTTTTATCTAATGACTCGCTCTGCATCGTGCTATTTTTTACGCATACCGTACGTGGTCGGGAAGGTTTCTATGGGGTTCTGGCGCTTTGCTGATTTCTCCAGTGGAACTACTATGGAAACAGAGAGTAGCCTCGATTCCAAGAGTGTTGAGATTCTGATTTTTTTCAAATTCTGATTTTTTTCACATTTTTAGAAAGTTCCATGTTTCTCGGCATTCGTTAGCGCTATTGTGGTCTTGCGAACCTCGTGTGCTACTAAACAAAGTATATTATTTATTTGTCATTTTTTCATTTTCCTTCGGAAAGTTGTTCTACGGGATTCACTATGCTTCAAATTAACTTTTGCCTCTGTCTCATCGGCATTCACGTATTAATTCACTGTGTCTAGTTTTCCTTTATCCATTCGTACTTGGCTCAGTTATATGGGTAAACGTCGCTGTGAGAACTGGTCCGCGATGCTGTTTGATGTGTAGTCTCCACGGGGTAGCCAGTTGTTAAATTGCTCCCAGCTTCATTGTAAGCTTGAAAATGGGACTCATACTTCTCAGATTAAGATATGAAATGTACGAAAAGAGAACGTAATGCTAGCATTGTTGCTGTGAGGCAAGATCGGAACCAGTTCTTTGCGAGTGTCACTGTTTGCGTGTTTTTGGAAATGAATTCGTTTCCACCTTCTGTCTTGAAAAGTTTGCTTATTGCAGGATGCAAGTAGCTATGATGCCTGGCCAGTCCCCGTCCTCAACCCTGAACAATGGCAATGCCTCGACACCAGATCCACCGTGAGTTGATTGCTTTATTTTTATATTTTCATTGTCGATATCCCGTTTTTGTCTAGCTTTTCACCGTATTTCCATATCAGTGCTTTATTTTGTGCAGCCCTTGTGTTAGTCACTTTCCGGCGACGTAGTGCATGTTTGTAGAGGCGTTTTATGTTTTCCGTTTTCCCAGTTGCTCCATACTTTGTGCTGTTGATTTTCTTCCGGCGCTCTTTAGGGTCTCATCCTCTGCCTCCTCATCGGACGCCGATCGTTTACGTGCTTCAATGGAAGCTTGGAAGCGAACCGCTGCTATAGCTAGTGAGAGATATAGTGAAGCGAGGCAGAGACAAATTGCAGCTGAGCGGGAAGATCGACATGAGCTTCGCAAAAGGTGTGTGCTTCACATAGATTCCTATACTGTTTAGTTTGGACATTTGGACATGTGTTCATCGTTTCAATGGTTTTTTGAGTTACACGAATGTCTTTGTGTCGTAGTTGCTATTGTGACCTTTTGCACTTTATTTTGCTTTGGTTTCACCGTAGTAGCGGAAGCTTTCAGTAGAACCTTGACTACTGCTGTAGTTAGGCTGCTTCGCTGTTGTGGGTGGGTATTGTTGGAAAGAGGTTCGATTGCTGGACTGCAATGGATTTGGAATCTGGGAATTCCCTCGATAAATTATTTTGCAATCTCCGTCTAGTGGCCGAGGTTCATACCGAGGAAGTAGCTATCCATCAGCACTGGTCTTGTTTCGCTATCCGTTTGTGTATTTGTTTCTCATAGTTTCCGATTGAGCTTCCGATTCAGCTTTGGTTCTTACCATGTTTTTTTTTCTCGATAAAGGGTTACCGAAATAGGGTTAAGACACTTGGCGTCCTGGGGTATCTTGTCCTTCCCTTCAGGGTAGGGGAATCTCTTTAAATTGGGGTTTTCCATGATTACACTTCTTACTTTTCAGCACATGTGTACTTTTAACATCACCTTACAATACGAATAGGCTTTCCTTAGTGCGATCTCGGTTGAGGATGCGTAAAAAATTTGAGGAGTTCCGTTACCTCCCCCGTCCTCTCCTCCCCCCTGGGGAAGGACTGGATACGGCTCTTCAAAGATCGCTGGCGCGGCACTCTCAGATGTTCGGTGTGATGTCGTTTTTAGGCTTTCGTGCATTCAAGAAAACAGTGGTAACATATCTGAGAAACTACAGGTCTATGGTTTGCTCACCTACTAACTTACTCGGAAACCGTCCATACAGCCTGGATTGCTGCGTTCTGGAAAAAATTCTTTGACGATTCAGACCGTATAATCATTTTGATGCAGTGGAAACAGTTTTGCGCTTATCCTTCCTTCAGTGGTTTCATTGTAGATGGCTCGAAGAAGAAGCGAAAAAGCGAGCAGAAAGTGTGGGTAAGCAGAAAGATGGTTTGAGCGGTGGCAATGTGTCGTCAAATATGCCTCCCGTTATACCAGTCTACACCTATCAATAATCGGGTAGGTAGTTGTTCAACTGGTTACGTTGTAGACATACCTACAGGTTGTAGTTGTTACGCTTCTTTTCATTCGTTCGTTTTCAGGACAGGAAACGTCACCTTGATAATAACGACTACGGTCACGAGGAGTGGAGGCAAGGTTTTCGCATGATGGAGGGTTAGTTTGGCTAGATCTGGTTGGCATTTAGTACCCAATTCTTCTATATGTCTTGCCCTTACAGGATCAGGTATGCCTGAGATATCGAAAGCATCTGCTGATATGTACGGTAACATGGGCTACCATACTCCTAATGGAAGTTTTTACCCAGGAATGATGGTAGGCTCTCTTTCTGCTTAGGATTTCTATCATATCTGATCTCTTTCATTGTTCTCATTTCTTCTTTGGAAATGCGGTCATTCTTTGAGACTGCAAGCCATTCGGCGCAACCCCCAGGGACTAGGCCGATGAATCGGGGTTTGGGGTTAGCATGTGGAAGAAATACGTATCGATTTCATGCGTTTGCACGATCGATACGTATCTGCCTCATGGTTGACTGCAGAAACCGATCGCAATGTATGCCCATTCTTATGTGCGGTTATTTTAGATGCATGAAATGCAGCAGCAGGGTAAAGGAGTGATGGTCGGATTCTCCAGCCCAGTGTTTCCAAATGGTACTTCCTACCCGCCTGGATCGTATCCACCTAATGGGGGACTTCCCGCTGCGAATGGACATTTCCCTTCTTCCAAGTCGGCACCAAGCTTTCGTGGGAACTCGTTTCCAACGTCACAGACGGTGTCCTCATCTGTGGCTTGTTCTCCGATGCCGTCAACGTCCACTGCCGATGCATCGACGTTGGGTCAACGCTTTCCTTCGATGGAATCCTTCAATTTACCCATCTCACTGGACTCAACACCAGTATTCAAGCAACAGGCGCACAAAGGCCATTATATACCTTCCGGATTAACTCCATACAGTTGGTGGGATGCCGCCCAAGTCACTTCGATGTTGCCCGACGTACGAATGAGCGGGTCGTTCTGCATCTTTCATTTCATTTTCATGCTTTTTTTGGTTACTAGGTGAGGTGCCGGTTCGTTGTAGGTAGCGATAGATCCAGAGTTTGAGAGCAGCCCTTTTTCATTTCGCTTGCAAGATTTCACGCCAGCATACGGGATATATGTGGAGCACCGGGAAAAGTTTTTATTGGACGGCTTCTGTTTCCAACTTTGCCAACTCTGTTTGCTTTTGAACGTCGAAAAGTAAGTGGTTACTGCGTTGCAAGTGGACAGTTGGGTGAAGGGCAAACACTAGCGCCATCGCGACGATATGGGAGCGACCGATCAGTGACGTGAGGGTTGTCCATTTGCCGCAGAAGAGTATTACTCAGAACTGTTCAATGAAGAGCTTGGTATTTTTTAAGATGTCAGTCTTTCTCCCGTCTCCTTCCATCCCCATCTCCGCTTTTGTTCGTTGTGGAGGAAGTCAAAGTGCTGTTGCCAGAATTTACAATAGATCGAGTTCGTCGATATCAGGGAAAGGCCGTACGGTGGTTAGCTTATGGCGAGCGTGTGCAAATACTTTTTTCAATATTCCGGGAGGTTTTTGAGCATTTTAGCAATTCAATTCAAACATTTCTCAGTGCATTTTACTCCCTCATCGGTAGAATTAGGGCGGCTGAGGAGTTTGGTTAAAGTGGGAATGAGTAAAGAAATTTCCGCGTATAGCACGACCCGCGTTTGGGGAGGTTGGCGGCCGCTGTGGTAGGATCACCAAACTTGACCTCGCCTTCCCCAATTCTTCACGGCGAGATGGTGGAAGGTCTTTTCTGCGAGTATGTTACCTCGGAAGCGCCACGGTCCTCCCCCCCCCCGGACGGAAATATGAGACTTATATCTGAGGTAGTAGGTTTCTGCGGTAAGTTCTGGGGGGGAGTTCGGCAAAACCTATTTTGTAAGCTTCGATTTAGTGACAATTCTGAATTGAACAGTGGTTTGTTTTGGAGTATTATTGGTTCTCATAATCGCAACATGCTATTACAGGTGCCAACTCCTCCAGCGCTTGCGAATTTCCGCAGCAGTGTACCGCTAGGGAATTCGGTGTGCTAGTTCTGCGATGATAGAACAGAGCTTACGCAGCCCTGCAGAGGATCTTGGATGCAATGCTGTGAACGAAGACAACATGACCAAGATGCTCACAAGTATACGTACAGATAGCTTGGGAATGCTGGGAGCTGATGCGGTTGATTCGCTGTTTGACAGCGATGTTGGCGATAACGATGGAGCTGCTGGGCAGGTGAGTCTTACCTGAGATTTTTAACACTTGAACACTTTAACAACACTTCACTGAAGCTCTGTATTATATAAAGAGCACCGAAAAAATTTTATTTCCAGAAGGCATTCCAAAAGTTCAATAAAAAAACTAAGTATTCCAATGTTTCCAAAAAAAAGAACCAGAAACAATCCAAGAAATCCTTTGAAGTTTTCTGCGATATTTCGTGTATAACACGCTCGTCAGGCATATGTATGTTTGCCTCAAGCCAAGGATAAAGCTGCTCTTACGGGAGCCGTGCTGTTGTAGTGGAAATGAATTTTTCAATTCTTCAGAACGGTTTCATCAGTCTTGTAATGCTTTCAGAATAAGGGGTTGATTTCCTCTTTGGATTTCCAAAGGGATTGCTATAGTGACTTTAAGATGGCAAGTGATAGTATCTCAGGACAACTCCTATTCTGGCAGATGGCTTGTGAGCTCGGATTTCGGATTTCAATTTAGCGTTAAATAAGGAATAACACTCCATATGTCCCATCAAGTCAGGGCGGGAGAGCATAGTGGGAGTGGGCGGTCACCTACCAGACGCATTGTTCGCTACCAAACTCCTCATCTCTAGACTCAACTAGCTGGTATCATATGTCTGTGAGGACAAAAACTGATTCGTTTATCGGCTAGCCTCCACAAGTGGCTGCACCATTCAAGTCGCTTCAAGTACCACTACGATTCTGAAATGATGTAGTGTGCATGGCGCATCCTACAGGGGGATTGATCGATTTATCCACTATTATTCAGGTCGACTTTCAACCAGCGTTTGTTGCAGGGCCTTGAGTCGCTTGGGGTAGGAGCCATGGTGGCTCGTTCGCTATCCTTTCGAAGTCTCCTGAAGCAATTATGTAGAGATTCCGGGTTTTGGGTGCCTCTAGGCAACTGAAAACCCGGAATCTCTACATGTTGCTGCCTCCAGAAGTACTGCAGCCTGTAGGTCGCGGCTCTCCACCGACACAGTAGTAAAGCAGTTTCGAGTTGTTGGAGCAAATCTGGTCTGATCGATGAAGCGAAAATTACTTCTGCAGCAATTTCGAGCGTTCCCGATCCGGAGGGGTCATCTGTTGTTGAAATGCCTACTTTTTATTTTCGATCTCTCATGTGAAGCTTGCTACGAATGCGATTGCAAACCCCTTTGACTTTGGCTCGACCGAGAATGGCTGCTAGCTTTAAAAAGCGTATCGCTCGAAAAGGTTTTCAGCTTGATTTTGTAAACATTTTTCAAATCTGAATAGCCCGTAGACGAAAATCTTGCTCACTACCAAGTTATTATATAATGCTTGAGATTGTCTTAATATTTCGCGTTAAAATTTCTTGCTGGTGTAGCCCACTGAAGGTTTCTCGATTACTAAGGGCTAAAAGGATAAAGCATTTGCCGTTGATCAATCCCTTTTGGGATGCGGCACGCATTCTACTTCCATTTGTACATTCGTAGTGGCATTTGAATGCGATGTGGCCTATACAATGACTTGCGGGGGCCAGCCGATGTCAAGTCAGTGTTTTTATCCTCCCAGACAAGTCTGGTACCAATTAACCGACCCCGGAGGGATGGAAGGCTTGGTTGGCCCGGGCGACTCACGACCCAGGATTTGATCCCCGGACCGCTCGCGTGGTGAGCGCGCCACTTGTCACTACACCACTTCCGCCCTTCTGTCATAAATTCATCATACGAATAACTGCAGGGTTCAATAATTGGTTCAAAAGTAGCACCAAAGTTTAGAAAAAAAATCTGTTACACAAAAGTGATCATGAATGAGGCAGCACTCTGTGACATTCGAAAGAGCGTGTATTTGATATAATTTACATCTGTCTGGTAGACATACCTCAGAGTTTACTCAAATACCGTTGTAACCTTTGCTTCAGGCCATCGATTCCTTTATTCTCTGTTTTGCAGGTGCCATTGGTAACGTCAACAGACTCTACCTCTTCTCCAGCAGGATTCTCACATGGAGGCCCTCGAAGTGCCCACTCGGTTCACTCGGTAAGTTGATTCGTCTTTCATTGACCCAATCTGACAAATCCGAAAGCATCCATTTTAGGCACCTCAAAGTAACAGCAACTGTAATCCGCCGTCAACGCCTACGCCGTCTGCACCGCTTTCGACGCCGTTCCCTCCACAAGTACCGACATCACAACCGAGCAGTTTTCCACAATCATCTCCTCAGTCATCCACATTTCGACCACCTTCATCACCGCAACAAGCGACCCGATATCCTTCAACGACTCCCAACCAGTCCTCATCGTTCTCGCAAGAATGCCCAATCATTTCATCGTTCCCGCAAAATGCCCAACCCAAGACTTTTGGCAAAAACCTGCGGCTCTCAGGCGAGAAACTTATCCCGCGACGATGTCGTCAACATACTTTCCATGGCGTCGGCGTCCCAAAAGTGTCGTTTTCCCCTCTGCCCACAGCCATCGAAATGACCGCAACAAATGCTACTGCAACGAACGTGGTACCGCCAAGATTGCATTCGGCTGTTGAGCTTAGTCAACTGCGTGCGCCACCGAGTTCAAGTCTAATCCTTACGATTGTGTTTCGGAGGAAGATGATGTCAAAATGCTGTTGATCCTGACCCGTTTATGGGAACACAGGCATGGTATCCAGGAATCGGGATGAATGGCGTAAGTAGGAATTAATTATACCTTAGGACATTACGATGATTAATCCGATCATATCCGCAAATGATTCTTTTTTTTCAGATATCAGGCTAGACATGCCCTAATCAGCGCAATGAGTCAACACAACAATGGCCATGCAGGTCGAGCTTGAAACATGGAAAATCCTTATTGTTCTTTCATAATGAGATGGTTTTCTCGGGAGAATAAGATAAGGAGATAAAGTCCTCTTCTTATTTTGGACAGTGATGCGAGTTATGAGAGTCGCATTGGGACGGAGTGGCGTGTGACGAGCGAAAGAGACCTAAAAATGTGTTGGGAACAAAGGGGTGAATAGACTTAGCTAAGGGGGAGGGCGGTGCGGGGAGTGCTAGGATGTATGTGTGGCCCAATTTAAGGAGGGGGGGGATTTTGCGGTACGAACGGTTATTTAAGGACCGTTCAAATTGGATCGGAATTTATTTATATATATACCAGTTTTGCTTCGCCCGCTATCGCGCGCATCACACGGCAGGCTTTAGCGAAATTGGAGGACCCATGGAATATCAGCATGAGATACTCCATTAACCATCTCACTATTGACTGTGTTAGACCCTCCACAGTTTCACTGAAGCTCATCGAGAATACGCGTGATAACGTCTGGAGCTGAACTGGTATATTGATCACAACTGTAAACATCCAGCATTCTTCTTGAATTAAGATAATTTAGCGGTGAATAGGATTGCTGTCAGTCTCAAAATGAAAATGAAATATGCCTATTTACATAAGTGAGGAGCTAAGGCTTATCATTCATTTACATTCACCATTATTTAGAACCCCGAAAGGATTAGCGGTTTAATGAGTTTGGGCTTTCTTGATAGAAATGAAACTTATCATTTGCTGAAGACTTGATTGAATTTATGCAATCGACTGCTATTAAGTAAGCTGGATATATATCGAAATAATGTGCACGTACCTTTGTTTGTACTACTACGACTTACTACAATTTGTAAGTAGGAACGCTCTAGTGTCAACGCTGCGTAACGGAATTGACGACTTTTGCGTTCTGACGCGCCTTATCAGCCCTTATCAATCGTTATCAGTTTCTGGCACCCACCAACAATGTCCCCGTCCCACCCCACATAACACTTGTAAGTATGGTTGCTCTGGTGTCAACGCGAGCCAGGTAACGGAATCGACGACTTTTGCGTTCTGGCGCGCCTTATCAGCCCTTATCAATCGTTATCAGTTTCTGGCACCCACCAACAATGTCCCCGTCCCACCCCACATAACACTTGTAAGTATGGTTGCTCTGGTGTCAACGCGAGCCAGGCAACGGAATCGACGACTTTTGCGTTCTGGCGCGCCTTATCAGCCCTTATCAATCGTTATCAGTTTCTGGCACCCACCAACAATGTCCCCGTCCCACCCCACATAACACTTGTAAGTATGGTTGCTCTGGTGTCAACGCGAGCCAGGCAACGGA